GATTAATTGGGTGTGCTTTGAAAGTGCTACATGGTTTTATCCTGTGTTTATTTTAGTTTTGATTCAAAAATCGTAGAAATAAATTGGTAGGTTCCAAATGAGAGAAATATGTGAAACTTTATCTCCTTTCTTCTAAAGCCATACTACAAGCTACTGAGGAAAAAAAAAAAAAAAAGCACATGAAAGCATGGGGGCTTTTTTCATGTGAATGAATTTTTTTTCCTTTGCTGAAAAAATGGAAGACAATATGCAAATATTGGGTGCCTGGCTTGCCTATCTGTTTGAAGACTAATCTTTGAGTTTTTCTAACTTCAAAGTGGTATTCTAAGAGAACTGTTTATTGACAAGAACAACAAGAAAACCACATTTTTCAGTTTAACATATGAAAAAATGAAGTATCAAGAAACATGAGGCAAAAGTGTGTTTGCCTTTCTGTCTCTTTTCTAATTGAGTGCAAAAAAATCACCTTGACACAGGGGCAGTTGAAAGCTGGCATTCTCAGAGTTGTGAAGTTGTCAGTCTGGTAGACACTGCATTTCATGAAAGCAGTAGTTAAATGCATGTCACCACTGGCATGGGGAACAGGAGGCTGGGACACTGCTGGTGAGCCTCACTCTTTGTACCACAGTTGTGACATTCTGCACTACCATCTGTGTTGCTGTGGATGGTATTTCCTTTTAATTTATTCATTAGCTGCTCAGAATATCAGTCAGAGCAGAGAAGGATTTTTTTAATATACATGTTATGCAATAGTTTATGAAATATTTTCTTAGTATGCACTGTCCTTAGAGGGTTACTTAGTTGCTTCTGTGAATAAAAATAAAATGAAATCAATTTCATCTACCTGCTCCTTTAAAGCAGAAAAATCTGTATTCTCCTAATACAGACCTGTGCATAAAACTGACACATAGATATCTCTGATATATACCGAGTTGAGGATTACAGTATGTACTTCATGCTTCCACTTCTTCAAGTGAAGAGAGAACTTTGTATTTTAGCATGCTTTTATACCTAAAAGGTATTTTTGCATTTCTCTGATTTCCATCATTTTCCAATTTATATGCTCAAGACTTTTAAATTACTTATAGAATCATAGAATCATAGAATGTTTTGGGTTGGAAAGGACCTTAAAGATCATCAAGTTCCAACCCCCCTGCCATGGGCAGGGACACCCTCCACTAGACCAGGTTGCTCAAAGCCTCATCCAGCCTCCAAAATAAATTCAGAAGAGAAATATTGTTAGAAGGATGACTTATTTCCATTGCCATTACAAAATGAAAATGGTATAAGTCAAATTCTGGATGGACAAATTTTTTATCCACCTCTTGTTCATACATTAAAAGTAAACTATAAATAGTTTAAAAATGGCTAGTTAATGCTTCACAGGTTTTATAAATTTGTTATGAATTACAATAGTGTGTGTTCCAGGTAGTTAGGTCAAACATATTAATAAATGATTGATTGTTACTGATTATTATGAAATTAATATTTTTTTAAATAAATTATTAAGCCTTTCCAGTGTAAACAGAATATAGGGGAAAACAAGAAGTGCTGAACAACTAACACAGAATCCTAAAAAATATCAGTTTTGGAACAATGCTATGTTTGTTTACTTTTTACATTAGTTTAAAAGCAAGGGCAATTAAGATGCAAAGAAAGAAGAGAATTAATCTCTGCAGAATAAATCTCAGGTCTACAAAAGTGAAGATGATATTCATGCTCTCTCTCCCAAGCAAAAGAGAGCCTGGCTTCTTTGTCCTTGGTGTGGCTGCAAGGAAAAAAGATACAGTTTTGCCTTTTGAAGTGCAAAACATTCCTGAAAAATGCTTAAATCCCAGGAGAATGTATGAGAGGTAACACCTTACTCCTGGGACCAGGCTAACGGTTCATAATCCTACCAGTAGTGCTGACACTGAAGCCTGCTCAAAAAAACGCTTGTCCAAAATCCTGCCCCGCTTCTGCATTTGGTCATCCTGAAGCACTGAGCTGAGCACTTCAGGGAGGTCCAGATTTCAGGTGTGAAATGTATGGAAACTTATTCATCACTGAGGTACAGGTGATTGGTCTGCTCTATAAAAATATATGCAATATTTAAAGGAAGCCACCTTTCATACAGTGGCCAAGAGATTAGAGCATACATGCAGAACCAGGAGTCTTGGGCTCAGCATCCCCCTCAACCTCTTTCACTCCTCCAAGGAGTAGTTTTGCCACCAGGACCCCTGGGCTACACCCCAAGCTCTGGCCCATGGCACTCCACAGTGTTGCACAGGGCTGAGGTGAGTTTGATACAAAGATCCCCATTTGGCACCACAGTCCCAGCCTCAGATTCCCAACCTCCGAGGAGTTTCTGAATTTTGTGTAAGGGCATAGCTGGAAGGGAGAAGGGCTGGAAGCCTCCCAGGGCAGCCCTTCTCTGAAGGGAGTTGTGCTCCCTTTCTGTTTGCCATCCCAGTAGGCCTCTGAATTGTGCATTTCTTTCCACAGAGTGGCACAGCTTCAGCTACGACTCCCATGGCAGTTTTGCTTTGAGCCTGGTTGCGAGGAAATGGCAGCTCTGAGTTCAGGTCCCCTCCTCACCACAGCTAGAAAAGACCTTGTGTGACAAAGTTTCCACCTCTTCACCCTGTATTGCAACAAGAAGCCAGTACTCTGTCGCCCACTTCTTGGCCACCTGCTCTAAGGTGTGGGCTCGTACACACCAAGGTGCACCAAGCGTCCTTGCTGCGCCCTCTGGCCAGGCTCTGCTTGCTGAGCTCTGCTAGCAGCTCAGTGCATCAGCTGTGCAAGAAACTCATTGTTGGGTTTTCAGTGCACTGACTAGAGGGCCTCTGGAGGACATGTACATTCAGGGACAGCAAATTTGTGGTTCCCAGACAGTCACGATAAGGAGACAGGCCCTGAGATACTCTGCTCAGCTGTAGGAGTTAGTCCCCTTTGCACTGCCCCCCTTGAACACAGTCCAGTCCTTGATAACTGCAGAAGATCCCTTACTGGTCTTCATAAAGATAAGATAGGATTTTGAGGATAAAATGAAGCTCTGAGTGAGTCTATGGCAGGAAGTTTTAGTTTTATCATCTTGTTTTAGATGTAAGGATCCAGAACATCTCAGCCTAGAGAGTGTTAAAGATTTGGATGATAATTTAAGCTTTTCAGCCAAGATAGAACTTTACCATATAACTCATGAATATTTCTCTCCTAGAAAATAATACATTTTCTTTTGCAAGAGATGGTAATGACCTTTGGAGATAAAAGGTAAATTATATTAAAGTTGAATTCCTGGCAAAAATACATTGCAATTTTGGCCCTTCGTCTATTATTACTTAAGAAAATGCATAGGAGACCAGTTTGGCCAACCCTCTTAAAAATGCAAAGCTTTGCCTCAGCTTATACTAGTGCCCAAGGGGCCTCATTCTGATTGTTTATGGAATTAATTATCTGATGGTTCACTGTTCGATATTAAATATTAAAATTTCTGTTAATAATATATATTCCTTCTCCTGAGTCATCTCACTTGTGCCCAAGTCTCTTTAACCAATAAATATCTACAAGACAGCGATATCTTAATCTCAGAAAGGTTGGTAGTGTCTTATTTGAGAGACAGAACCCATGACTGCTCCTAATGCAAGCAGGAAAGCTGCTTCAGAACCCTTTTTGCATCAATACAGAGACTGGACACCATTTGAACTATTTGACCGCTCTGTGCTGATACATACATTCTTTTTTACAAGTAAACATTATAAAAAAGGTTTGAGATACTTTATTTTTTTAATAAATTTGGTATGTTTAGCAACCATAACAGGGTTGTGCAGAAGAGAGAGGCATAAAATATACAAAATCTTACACAAAGATGAGATCACTCTAACAGATACTTTTTCAGTTAACTACTCTGAAAGGTCTGCAAACGTTCTCACCTCTCTTTTTTAAAATACTGATTTTCCATAGATCCATTTTATTTTAAATGACTGAAATATATTTTCATCAGGCCCATTTAAAAGGTCTACAAGTTCAAAGAAACAAAGAAAAATTCCATATACATTTGCAGACTAAATCAGAAATTCTGGCACTCAGGTCTCTGTGGTGGGCTGAGCAGTCACACACTGATAAGTTTTCCTTGTTTCCAAATAGTAAAATTAATTAAATCTTCTCTTAATGCTTTTCTTTTTTTCACCTGTGTCATTACTGAAGTTGCCACAGGGGCATACTGTGATCATGACTGGAAGTGGGGTGCTCTAAGCAGCGGCTACAGTAAGCGTAGATGGGGAAAAATACATTTTCACCTGAAACATGATCTCCTTTAGAGGATAGTTGAAGGGATGTTGTGCTAAATCCTGTTCAACGTTATGTGAACATCTAAGAGGAAAACAGGGAGCATTGAGGGGAACTCATGGTGTGCAAACAGTCTCTGCTCACACACAGGTAACAAATGCTTTCAAGCCATGTTTGTAGAGGCATCCTTACCACTTGGCCCTTGTGTGGATGGGCACTCACTCAGCCCTTGCAAACGTAGGAAATACTTTTTTATTCCATTTCTCTTCTCCCTCTGTCATTTCTGAGGCTGATACATCAAAAGAAGTAGTTGGTGCATTCTGTCTGGGTTTGTCTTGTTGAGAAATATATGATTCTCTGGCTTGGAAGAGTCACTCCTGTACTCAGAAAGTAATGGCTTTTTTCTATCCTTTCCCGCATTATTTCTGGTCAGAATTGGGTTTTGCAGGAGACTGTGAGCTCTTCAGGGTGAGAGGCTGCATCTTCTCCTTTGAGAAACATTACGTTTGGCTTGTGGAGCACAAATAAACAAATATTCTCAGATTTGTAGGAAACCTGTATTCTTGCTTATTTTCTTTTCAGCTGTATTTGGTCAATCAGAAATGCATCTGTGCTTGTTTAACATGAATTATACTTTTGTGAAAGCAGTAGATGTGGAGACTTAACAGTGAAAAAGACCCTCTCATGCAAGGCAAAATGTAACAATAATTCAAAACCTTTCATTGTTTTTGCAGGATGAGGCTGCTCCAGCTGACAAACAGTACAAACAGGAGCCAGCCCAGGTCACTTACTCAACATCAGCTGTTTCCAGCACACAGGAGGTGTTGTACATCAATGGAAATGGGACTTACAGTTACCATAGTTACAGAGGGCTCGGAGGTGGGCTACTAAATCTCAACGATCCTTCTAGCAGTGGTGAGTTTCCTTACAAAATGTGCCTGTGTGTATATGTGCTCATGTGTACGTCTCACCCTGCTGTACAGAAAGCTAGTCCAAGGGGTTCAATATCCATAGGCTATTACCAGATAACGAGCAGGAACACAATCCCACAAACAGCTACTGCTGAGAAAAATACTTGCTCACTGCATGCTAGGCTCCTTTCAGTTTCAAGGAACCAATTCACAATAGGGTGAGACTGAAGCTGACGTCTCTAACAAAGCTGAGTAAAAAAATGCGGGGTTAAATCTTCAGTCCATTTGCATGACTTGATGAGGACCTACCCTGTCATTGTTGTCCTGTCCTATACTCGTAACAAAATGAGGCCATTAGTATCTTTTGTGGCTGGAGATTGAAAACACCAAACTCCATATTTTATAACAAAAATAAATTGATCTAAATTTCTCACATGGTCTCTCTAGTTACTTCAATTTATTGCATATAAGGATCTGTCATAACAAGTATTAAATGAGAAATCAGCACACCTATCTATATGTTTACCTAAAAATGATGCAGATACTTATGTGTCACCATGAGGTTGTGTGCCCCTCTGAAAAAAACAGTGGCATCATTTGTTTAGAAAGCATTCCTTTCTTCCTACATTAGCAAGCATCTGTAACAAAAAAATGTAAGTGAATTTTATTATTTGTTTGAAATAGCCCCCCATATAGACTTCATACAAATTCAGAATGGAGGAAACGGTTTGCCCATGCTAGTAACAAGGGTGTTGTTTGTCTGTCTGTCAGAGACAAGTGATTACTCCGGAAGACTGAAGGTCTCTTGCCTCTAAGAATGGTATTTAAAAAATATTTCAGAGGATGGAGAAATCCCTGGGGTTTCGTCCTGGCTGATCCCTCTTTGGCTGAGGAGAGTGCTGCTTCAGGTAGATGGGCTGACTTAGGCAATTGGTAATTGTTCAGCTACAGCCTCTATTTTCTCCATGCTAAGCAATTTCACAACACTATCAGGGCTGCAGCCTACAAGGAGTTATTGCTAAGTGGTGTCCTGGCAACCTTCAGTCATGTCTGCTTCCTCATTCCCTCACCAAAATCCTCAAAGGTCTGTGAATGATTTGCATTAAGTTTTCAAAAGGCTTTAAAAGGATATTTTAGTTGACAAAAGTCTTTGATATAAGAGAGTGAATGATTATTACAATGGTTTCCGTATGCAGGAAAAACACATCTGAGGTACTGAATAAGATCTCTGATCAAATATTTTTGTAAGAGTAAGACAGGCTGTGGAAATCTGGTTTCTTGGGAAAATCCAGAACTTTATATTGTCTTTTAGATTGTGGCCAGAGAAGGTCCGAGCCAGTTC